CAAGGCTCGCCTTTAGTAAGTGGCAGGTGATTTTGATCCTTGGTTCTGTAGTAATAACATTGATATTTCTGTGGCGTGTGGTAGTGCAAGGCTCGATCTAGCTGCATCGATTTGTTTGAGAGTACCTACATGGCGAATGATACGAATCAGTCGGTGTTGAGAGCATATTGGCTAGGGAGATTTTAATTAATTAACAATGTTTACTATGTTTTTTGATACTATATGGCTGGTTTTTTTTAAGGGTGGTAAAGTGAGTAAGAGTCTGAGCCCGCCTGGGTGAGGCGGGAGGGAGCGTCAGACTCTTACTGACTAAAAACCACCCCGTTCTTTCTTCTGCACTTCGAATCGGAGTCCCGGCAACCGGAAACGAAACATTGAACATTAGTCGGCACGGTTGGCGTCGGCTATCGTGGAATGTGTCGCGAGAGCAACTCTTTGTGTGCTCCACAGATTGTTGTTCCAGGTCTGGGTGTCATGTGTTTGTGAACTTATAAAAGAAAAGAAAGAAAATCCTAGTGCCAAAAAAAGAGGTTGGCCAGCCTAGTTAGTATTATTAAAATATACATAAATAAACTACAAACCCTATAGACCGCCCGCTTGCTAAATTACGTTCTATAAAAATAATTTCGAAGCACACGTGTTTTATGAACCATAAAAGCCATGTTCGGTTTAAAAAGACATATAGAATTTATATTACTAAAAATGAATTGCCTAATTGGATTAGATTGGCCCTTTTTACCCGACTGCCAAAAAAAGGATTACGTTCGCTATTGTCAGGTTAACACTTATGATTACTACAACTTGAGTATCTTTAAGGCCTGAGTGAATAGAATAGAAATGTGCTCGGTATATTGTTATAGGCTGACCCCCTATTACATGGGACTCATAACAAAAATAGTGAAAAGTGGTTATTACATGGTACAGCGGCATTAAGTGCCGTAATGTGCACCTCTGCCTACCCCTTCGGGGATAAAAGGCGTGATGTTATGTTACGTAGTACTACAGACACATGCCAAGACATTTTTAACTCACATTAACTAAACTTAGATAATTTCTTTCGTAGCTAAAAATTTACGTAGCGCGTAATAATAATAATAATAATAAACACTTTATTGTACACCACTTACAAAAGACACGAACAAGAAAATAGTAGGTAGGTAAAAAAAAAATAGTTTTGGCATGTTGCACAATGGGCGGCCTTATCGCTTACAGCAATCTCTTCCAGGCAACCTTAGGATGGATAAATAACCGTGAGAGCAGATACCATGTGGGTGTGATACGCGTAGTACCGTAGCACAGCCTAAGAGCTACGCCATAATTTCGTAGCACCGTAACTAACTTAAAATCAATCTGCAATTTTTATATAGCAGTGTCTAAGAACCTGTAGATTATAATATACTAAAGTAACTTGAAGGCTGCCTCGTTGGCCGAGTAGTCGCAAGTGCGACTGCCGGGCAAGGGGTCTCGGGTTCGATTCCCGGGTCGGGCAAAGTATTACTGGGTTTTTAAAAAATCTCAGTAGTAGTACGGAGTCTGGAAATGTGCCCGGTATATGGCAATAGGCTCACCCCCTATTACATGGGTTGTTTTTTTTAAGGGGGTAACATTATCGAATGACTGCTCCCGCCTGGGAGAGGCGGAAGGGAGTGTCAGACTCTTACTGACTAAAAACCACCCCGTTCCTTCTCCTGTACGTCGAGCCGGAGCCCCGGTTACCCTTTAGGTTCTCCGGTATATGGCAATCGGCTCATCACCTATTACATGGGTAGCATAACATAAATAGTGAAAAGTGGGTGCTACATTGTACAGTGGCATTAAGTGTCGAAATCTGCACCTCTGTCTACCCCTTCGGGGGGATAAGAAGGCGTGTTGTTATGTATGTATGTATGTAACTTGAAAACACTTTGTGCCGTAGCCAAAGGTTACCGTAGCACGTAGTTCCTAGCCAGACTACGAGCTACGTCGCAATTTCGTAGCAGCGTAGCTATTTAAAATCAAAATGTAATTTTGATATGCCTATTCCTTAAGCCTTATAGAAAAGTAACTCAAATATACTTTCTTACGTAGCCAAAGGTTACCGTAGCACCGTAGCAAAGACTACGAGCTACGTCGCAATTTCGTAGCAGCGTAGCTATTTTAAAATCAATACTGAGACCAGATAACGCGGTACCTAAATATAGAATGAAAGTTTATGTGATTAGATTGAACGTAAATAAATACCGATTCTTATCTTACAATTACACCCTTATTTTGTTAACAATAAGAGCTATTTTGGAATAAAAGGTCATGTATGGATTTCGTTAACAATAAGTTTGTATTGTTTGTTCGTAATATATGCTTATGAAGACAATACGTGGAATTTATTGCTTTTAAAACTGTTTTGTTAAAAAGGTCAGGGCCTATTTTAGATATGATATTATAGACTAAATGTGTGTCTGTGTGTCGGCCGTCGTCAGCAAGAGGTTTAAGACGCCCGTCATAAACGCTTTGCTCGGCACCTATTGATCGTAGCGTGATGTTTTGAAGCCTATGATCTTTCTCAATAAATGGACTATTCAACACAAAAATAATTATTGAAATCGGACTGTTAGTTCTGGAGATTTCAAATCAAATAAACAAATGTGGCGTTCAAACAAACAAACAGACTCTTCAGACTCAGACTCTATTAAATTAAAATAATAAAGGATTTTTGGCGTACTGAAAGAATTTTAACAATATACGGTTGGGTTACCTACTTGAATCAATATTTTATGTTCGCGAACCGTTTTGTTACTAACCGTGTCTGTATGACTACGAGTTTCTTTTTTAAATTCTGTTTTTAAAGATAATAATAGCTATGGTTGATTGGTTCGTATTTTTTTAATATAAAAGATACAGAATGTTTTATATATATATATATACACTATATTACAAAAATACGAACCAATCGACCATATATATAAAAGGTGTAGTTTTGAAGCCGTGTCATTTCTCAGGGGCATGTCACAGAAGTCATAAAGGTTCAATTTAAGAGAAATTTTCGGGCTAATAGTTAAGAATACGGCTATAATAAATCGTTTAAGTTCGACAGTATTTCAGAATAAGCGACAGCAATGTTTCTTATTGGAGTTTTATGGAATTAGGAATAATATCAATTACGTCTTTGAGTTTGTGTGTGTTCAGCCGCGTTATAAAGCTAGTTACAAGACGGCGGCGTACAGTTCACACTTACGGATTTCCGTAATTTACAGAAAACTATAAAATATTTACCTACATTTTTTTATTGATTCGGACTCAGAATCGATAGCCGAGTTACCTCCTAGAAAATGACGCGGCTACAAAACAACACCTTGTATATCTATATATTTGTCTCTATATATATATGATTTATATATATATATCATATATCACTCTATAATATTATAAATGTGAAAGTTTCTTTGTTTAGATGTTTATCCGTCAATTACATTAAAACTAGTGAACAGATTAATTTGGTATACAGGAAGGGTTGGCTGACTTAGGTGATAGGATACTTTTTATCCCGATTAAATGCTCAGGATAGAACAGGAATACACGGGCAAAGACGGGTAAAAGCTAGTTATTTTATAAAATAGATAAGTTTTATTTTTGTGTTTTTAAAGCCTTGTCAGTGGTATGGTCGCAAGTCTGACTGCTAAGCAAGATATCTGGGATTTGATTCCATTTCTCTTCTTATCGCTTAGATATAAAAGGTCATTATCAATAAGATTTGGTTTATACTTCACAGTATAAAATAACGTCAAATTTTTTATATTTGATGGGACAACGTTTGACCATTATCTCGCCTGGTAGTAAGCGATGATGCGGTCTCCGATAGAGCACCTCGTTTCATAAGCAACCTATTCACTCGGGCCTTGAAGATACCCAGGTTATACCCTTCAGGAAATACAGACTCTGACAAAGAATTCCACTCCTTAGCAGTACGCACAAGGAAGTTTGATGCGAAACGCTTCATGCGTGTGGGTGGAAATGTGGGTACTTCTGTGTACCCCTATTACTTAATAAAACATGACGTAATATTATGAAATACATCACTAAATAACTACCAAGAAACCTAAATACCAGAACTAAAATAGACTAAAAAACCTATTAAAGTAACAAACTAAACAATCGTCGGACTAAAACTACAGCAACAATTAATTTTTAATTTTACTAAGTGTATGTAACACATCTACCTATGCATACCAGTATAAACTGGTCTTTGAATGTGCACAAAGATCATAGGAAGGGAGACCATGATAAATTAGTTTTGTATAGTTCGATATGTGAAGCCGTGTACATACTACAAAAGTCTGTCCTTGAATATACTGCCGTGAATATTTTCAGGCAACATGTACATATGTATTCAAGGTTGTTTTTATTTATGTATGTGTATGACGTGTGCGTTTTTTTCCCTATTTTATGAAACTATATATTGGCTAATTTCCTAACGCGAGAATTGAAAAAACCCATTCAACCATCAGCCATTTCATTCAGATTTTTATCCGCATCATTTTATAATTTAGATTGTACGATTTTCATGGGATTTGGAGACTTTAAGATAGGTGTTTATTTAAGAGGATATTACTTTGAATTAAGTCAAAGTCAAAGATCTTTATTGTGAGACAGTGGTTAAGACGGTAAAGCATCGTACACCTAACAAGCACAGCTCCGCCACGGCTCAAGCATGAAACAATATAAAAAAGGTTGTAAGCGCTACGTAGGCGCGTGGGTGGCGCGCTTACAGCTTTTTTATATTGACGTTAAGAAATATATCATACGACATACGATTTAAAGTTGATATTTAAATGACATTGTATAGGATGACTTTAATTCTCCAATCCGGCATTCAACCATATTTATTTTTTACTGATTTACCCATCAAACTTACATTATCATACTTTATCCATGACTGGCACCGATTTCTTACCACCAGGGTGATCCCTACGTACATGTACAGTTCTATCTCACAAAAAAAATATAAATATCTTCTTTGTCCACAGGAGCGTTTCTCATCCCGTTCCTGATCATGTTGGTGCTGGAAGGGATTCCCCTCTTCCTGATAGAGATGGCTATAGGCCAGAAGATGCGGCTTGGCTCCCTCGGCGTGTGGAACACCATACATCCATGGCTCGGTGGTATTGGCATATCCAGTTGCATGGTGACGCTTTTTGTGGCCTTGTACTACAACGTCATCATCACATGGGTGTTCTTCTATCTCTTCAATAGTATTCGGGTGAGTTATATTGTTATTTATTGAAGTATATATTCCATTAACTCGTCATTTTAGACACAATTAAAGAACAATAGGTTGCGGTCACCGGTGACCGCATACCTATAAACCCTCCTTTTGAATCACTCAATACAATGGTGTAAACGAAACGCTTCCGAAAATACGTTTTTTTTTATTTAACAATTTTAATTGATTTTTTTTCATGGTATTCGTGCCACATCAGCCTTGATTGCACCAGCATCAGCAGTTGATTTCAGTTGACAACTATTATGGCATAAAAGAAACATTTACTTTATTTATCCGTCTTCGTTTTTTGGGATTACTCTATTTACAACCCTGTATATAAAAAGTTTTGCATCAAAATCGACTGTGTAGTTTTAAAAGATCTAATCACATTGAAAAAGCGCTTTCGTATGATACTATGAAGTGATTGTACTCCATATATGTAAAAAAAAATGTACATGTTCAGTCAAAATGATTATGTTCTTTGCAACTTTCATTCTACCGAATTACAAACATTATAAACACACGTCTTTGTCCACAGCTGTCTGCTGACTCTCTACCTTGGGCCCATTGCCCTGTGGACAACGGCACTCGTGAAGCTGAATGCAACAAGGCTTCCTCGACCGTCTACTTCTGGTACCGTGAAGCTCTGGACGCGTCACCTTCCATCGAGGATCCAGGAGTACCAAGGTGGTGGATTGTTCTGTATCTCCTTCTGGCTTGGATCATCGTCTTCTTTATTGTGATGAAGGGGATCCAGAGTAGTGGAAAGGTAAGTGTCTCACTTCTGCTATTTTATGTCATCATCATCATCAACAGCCTCCACTGCAGAGCAAAGCCTCTTCTCACACGGAAAGGTTTGAGATTAATCACCACGCTTGCTCAGTGCAGGTTGGCACTTACAAACTTATAATTAGACATTATACGGCCAAGTTTCCTCACATTATTTCCTTTACCGTTTGTCAATGGTGTTTAGATAATCTTAAAAAGTATATATAACTCAGAAAAAAGTCACATTGCTACTTACCGTTGGTAGGTTTCGAACCCGCACCCTCATGCACGAGAAGCGAGAGTCTTACCCCCTATTACTTGGGACTCATAACATAAATAGTGAAAAGTGGGTGTTACATTGTACAGTGGCATAATGTGCACCTGTGCCTACCCCTTCGGGGATAAAAGGCGTGATGTTATGTTATGTTAAATAAATAAATTTATCATCAAAACTGAATTGTTTCAGGTCGTTTACTTTACGTCTCTCTTCCCATACATCGTGCTGACCATCTTCTTCATTAGAGGCGTCACACTCCCAGGGTCTGCAGACGGCATCATCCACATGTATAAACCGAAGGTAAGATACCTGTTTACTACATAACGAGTACGATCTGCTAACTTCTGATAGTCTACCGGAACATCTAACTTTACTAACAGATTATACTATTGCTAGCAGACGTGACAGACGTTGTACTGCATATAATATAATAATAATAATAATATTGCCTGCCATTTTTACGTGTAATAATTACATTGTTTCGGCAGGTGCCATAGTCATTCATAGTTCCCAATTTACCAGTCCACAGCAACCCATCCATAGCCCTACCTTTTTTTTCCATTATCCACAATAGTTCTACACTAACCGGGGACTGTCCTTGGGTGCATTTCCACAGTGTATACAGGGATAGTCGCCGGTTTGTGTGTCCATTACATTTATATTAAAGTTGTCTAAAGGGCCTCTGCGCAGTTGGCTTCGGCCCCTCGTACGCCTCCCAAATAACCGGGACCCTGTGGTCCCGTGAATGGTAAAGACATACATAATAATAATAATATAATAATAGCAGCGCGACAGTCGCCGCGTCGCGGGTCGCGAAATGCTGCTCATGAATATGAGCCTCTAGCATGGCTTGAAACTAGTCGAGTTCCTCGTCAAATTATTACTTGAAAACATAATAATTTATTTAGTATGTCTCACGAAAAATAGAATACAAATAATAGGTATAGATACATAACCTTTATACCTACTGCAGCGCCATCTGCCGGGCTGATTTGTGAATCTAAACCATCCAGGGCGCCACTCAAAAGCACACAGAAAAATTCATTAAAATCAGTCGAGCCGTTTAGGAGGAGTTCAATGACATACACACGTACAGCAGAATATATATAAAGACTAGCGGACCCAACAGACGTTGTCCTGCATATCCACTTGAATGTATAAACAAAAATTCATTCAAATTAGTTCGGCTGTTTAGGATAAATAACCTAAACATCGACTGCAACGCCATCTGCCGGGCTGATTTGTGAATCTTAACCATTCCCAGATCCCCTTGAACGCACACAAAAATTTCATCAAAATCGGTTCAGTCGTTTGAGAGAAGTTCAGTGACATACACACTCACAAAAGAATTATATATATAAAGATAAAGATGTTGAAAAATCCTTTTTTGGCGATTAAAACGTCTTATATGGTTTTGACTTCTTTCGAACTTAAATATATTTTGCTTTTAACCGATTCTATCAAAAAAACGTTTTTATACTTTTTAACATGAATTTGTCGGTACGTATCGTCTATTACAGAAATGAATCTAATACAGCATGCACAGATTACTAAAAATTTGGAAATGGCAAAACCACATGAGACTTTATTCGACTCGATGAATAAATATGTAACAATTTGTCCATAAAACAGTGACACAGCGTTCAACGTAGTGTCTTTGATAAAGTAAAGTGGGGCTAAAAATAGTTTCTTTGATGTCGTAACTTACAAGAGTTCGTTTGCTTTTACGAGGCTCTAGGGGTCATACATATAAACCTTCGCGAATAAATCCAGTGTAGCAGTGTCGCCATTAAAAATATTACACTTTAGTAAATGTCTATGAAGATGATCCCGGTTGTCGTACTCGTATAATAAATGTCTACCGGCCACTCTATATAACTTACGTACATATACGTATCCGTATATTTCTTTCAGAGATGTAATTTTGACGTATTTTATTTAGAGATAACGTCCAAATTCTACGTATCTCTTCACTGGTCAAAATATGTGACAGTTGAATTATTAAGATCGCCTGTAAGACCATTATTATGAGTCAATAACCCGTGAGAGTGCACCACTGGAATGTGTGAAACAAGTAAAATTTCTGCAAATAGGCTACAAGGCAGCACTTTTACATTTCAATTTTTTTTAAAAAACACTACATGATGATGACATGTCACCTTTAAGAATCTCTTTAGTTCTCTTTTACGAATAAGAGGTGTACCATTATCACTACGCTTGGCAGGCCGGTTAAAGATCGCAGTCTTATAGGATCAGATTTATTCAGACAATGCTGCTTTTTGATATCTATTCCATATCGTGCGTGTTACGTAGTCCCTTAATTATCTCTTACAACATGTAGATGTCACGTAGATAAAAAAAAGGTGGTGAAAAAAGTATACAAGTATTTTCTTTACGGCATAAGCCGGTAAACGAGCAGACGGATCACCTGATGGTAAGCAATCGGCGTCGCCCATGGACACCTGAAACACTAGAGGCGTTACAAGTGCGTTACCGGTCTTTTGGGGAATTAGGAATTTGAGGATTGTTAGGGATTCAGGGATTGGGGAGATTGGGGAAGGGGAGGGTAACCTCACTCACACGACGAAACACAACGCAAGCATTGCTTCACGGCGGTTTTCTGTGAGGCCTTGGTAATACTCCGGTCAAGCTGACCCATTCGTGCCGAAGCATGAATCTCCCACACTTTTTAAATATCTAAATTAATAAACCTTGTTTACAGCTGGAAAAGCTACTAGACCCGACAGTTTGGTTGGACGCTGCGACTCAAGTCTTCTACTCTTTCGGGCTTGCCTTCGGATCCCTCATCGCCTTCGGTTCCTATAACCCTCCGAACAACAACTGTGTGAGGGATGTCCTCCTGGTGTCCGTGTGTAACGCCCTCACTGCCATCTACGCGTCAGTCGTGATCTTCAGCATCCTTGGGTTCAAGGCGTTCACCATGGTGGAGACGTGCATGACCAAGTAAGTGGTGCTAATGTTGGTACAAATATTTTTTGTTGGCTTTTGGTGTAGAATGACTGATATCAACTCTAATTCTGTGGAATACGATTGAGTTTTGGTAGAAACTGAAGTAATGTTATAAAAATTCTTTATTTATCTAAAGGCTTTTTTTATTTTTTTATTCAAATAAAAACATAAATAAAATTAAAACTAACTATTACTAAATTAAATATATACAACTTAAGATTAAAATTATTTAAAAGAAAAACAAAAACAACTATTTACATAAAGTATCGAAACGTTCGTCCGCATCGACGTCAGTGGGGAAAGTACCCAGAAGGCTGGCAGCATTGCCACGTTGTATAGCAATGCTAATTTAAAGATTTTGGATTCAAACCGATTAATAATTTCGGCGATTTGATGTTAAAGTTTAAAGGATATTTCTTTTGGTTTTTGTTATTCTAACAAACCTTGTTCCAATGATGACGACCACGGAAAAAAAAATCGGTTGCAGCTCGTGAGTTATGCACGTAAAGTCGTAAACAGATTTCAGTGAACTATAAAAAATCAGACTGCCTCGTTAGCCGACTCACCGGTCGCAAGTGCGACTGCAGAGCAAGGGGTCTTGGGTTCGATTCCCGGGTCGGGCAAAATATTACTGAGTTTTAAAAAAAAATCTCAGTAGTAACACGAAGTCTGGAAATGTTCCCGGTATATGGCAGTAGGCTCACCCCCCTATTACATGGGACTCATAACATAAATAGTGAAAAGTGGGTGTTACATTGTACAGTGGCATAATGTGCACCTCTGCCTACCCCTTCGGGGACAAAAGGCGTAGTGTTATATTATATTATTATTATTATAAAAAATCAGTTCTTAGGCATTATTGTGATCCGTTTATTGTATGAAAATACTAGAAATAAGTAATTTATTACTGAAATAACATGAAAATCGTCTCGTCAATGAACCACTGCTATCATTTAATATTTGTCAATCATCATTAATTGGCTCCCGCTGTTTTATTGTTTTGATTGTTCTGTATCATATAAAATCATGCCAAGTCTTGTTGGTCGAATGATCATAAGCGCCACGACCGAGTAAGAATATTCGAATCGGATTCCTAGGTCAGGTTTTCGTCAGGTCAGCAGCTGTAGCCAAATGCCATTTAGCGCTTGTCTACATGTAGAATAGAAAACCAAATTATATGGAATTGATGTAAATTTTGATACTTGTCAGTGTCATCTCCATACATTTGGTTTCTTTAGACAAGCGCTAAAGTGGCATTTGGCTAAAGGCACAGGTCTATCTTGCTGGTTACCGGGGCTCCGGCTCGAAACGAGAGTAGGAACGGGGTGGTTTTTAATCATTAAACTGTCAAACACCGCAAGGACCCCGATGACCGCAACCTATTGTTCTTTAATTGTGTCTATAATGACGGTACTCAAAGGGTTAAGAGTCTGACACTCTTTCGACTCACCCAAGGCGCGTGACGTACTTCGACGATTTTCCCCCCTTAAAAATTTACAGGTTTTTGGAAAGTATTAGTAATTGCTAGTCTTCAAAGACAAAAGTCAAAGCAATTATTTCAATTAATCCTTAATTAGGCACTTTTGAAACGTCACAATTTGAATTGTCCATCCGTCTGTCTGTAAGTGAAGCTAGGCGCTCGTTCCAAAGTATAGTTTCGAATGGAGAAGAATGAGAAAGAACTCCATCGTTACTCTTTTAAAAAAATGTGTTTTACAGTCTCTAGAGTGACTCCTACTGTATTACACCTAGTATTTTTTTAAGGGGGGGAAATCCTCGAATGACTGCTTTCGACTGGGTGAGGCGGGAGGGAGTGTCAGACTCTTACTGACTAAAACCACCCCGTTCCTTCTCCTGCACGTCGAGCCGGAGCCCCGGTAACCCGTTAGGTTCTCCGCGAATTACCCAGTATAGGTTCACCTTCTTCTAATATGTAGGTTACAAAATAAAGAAAAGAGATCGTGTTATATCTAACGTTTGTACCTCTGGAAAAGTGAGATATTATATTACAAAAATTCTGACAATAATTTGAATAACACTAATACTAAACTCCCCAAGATTTCCTGCCCAAAACCACTCAACAAATAAGGTCATTAATCAATTAATCACTCCATAGCCTTCCAGAGCGTGCTATAATTAAGATTGCACTATATTTGATAGCCTACAGTCTATAAGAGGCTATCAACTCTGATTGATGTGTTGCCACCATTTCAAATTGCATGCACGACCTTGGCCCGAACTAAATATAAACGTTCAAGGTCGTGGGGTGAATATCGACTTTGTGTGAAAGGTTGAAAGTTGATTATTGTTTGTGAGACTCGATTTCTTTGAAATGTGCAATTGCTTTTGTTTCTGTTGGCAAGTAGTTGCTCGCTTATATCGATCGTACTAAGGCCCGATTTTTCAATCATCAGTTCATTCTTAACTCTATATAATGTCAATTTTATTGTACAGTTTTTCGTATGAAAGAATTGTCAAATATTCATTGAGTTATTTCTCAGTTCAAATTTATCTGAGCATTGAAAAATTGGCCCTAAAATATCCGCATATAGCGTATTTGCAATGTTACATTATAACGTTTCTTTGCTATTTGTATTGTAGTTACATCTGAAGTTTGTTTTTGGAAACAAACAAACCAAAATCAAAATCTTTTCTCTTTATACTATTAGTATAGATAGATATATATTAATAATGATAGAGCTATACTTACTATTAGGCCTTCGGTAATTAGGCCTCCCGGTAACCTCACCCACACTATGAAACACAACGTAAGCGTTGTTCTCGTTGATTTTCTGTGAGGTCATGGTGTTACTCTGATCGAGTCGGCCCATTCGTGCATGGTTCTAAGCATGGGTCTCCCACATTAAGTACGTAGTGTGGACAAATTTTGAATAATCATATTGTAACTTGTCATCAAGATTTAGAGCGCGTACCATTATCAAATCTCGATCAAAAATCGATCTGTCGTCAGGAAAGTAGTAAAATTCCAATTGCAAGAGTAAAGAGTAAAATTCCAATAATTAAGAGCAGTAAGTGTAGTTTATGTACCTACCAAAATTGTAGCTTTCATATATTTTATTTTAATCTACAGTAAAGAATAATGGTAAATGTGCTGATCTAAATATATTGTATGTAACATCTATATCATGTACTACATTGAGCAAATAAACAATTATTATTATTAAAAAAAGACCCTCAAAAACAAACGGAGCGACCCAAATAAAATCGTTTTAGAACATCATAATGTCATGTACCTACCTCAAGTAATGTTAATGATATTTTCCAGGGAGATCAAGATCCTGGCAGCTCTGAATGTCTCAGGGTTCACTCCGACCTCCTCCCACGATTACTACCGCGAGGAGTTCGGCAACCTGAACGATAGTCTGGTGGCGAAGTACAACCTCACTGGATGTACCATGAGCAGGCAGTTGGAGGAGGTAAGATGCGTTTTTGATATTGTATAAGGGGCAGTCCCTTAACGCCGGACGGCACCTAACACCGGACACTTGTATTATCTCGATAACTAATAACGTGAGCGATTCAATTTTTATGGGGAAGTCTCCCACAGGCAGACACCTAAGATTTTTAGAAAAATTGAATCGCTCGTGATGTCAATTATAGAGATAATACAAGTGTCCGGCGTTAGGTGCCGTCCGGCGTTACGGGTTCCCCTACTCAATATTTTTGCAGTGTAAGAAACTTTTCAGGTATTGAAATTAAGATTCTATCAGTAAGACACTTTTAAATGAAGCTTTACGTGACATTTCTGGTGTAACCATCATCATTAAAAAGCCACTGGACTTAATATAGTCGGCTCTCAATAACTTAAGTTTTAAGGGACCTATATCTATACATTTCTGATGAATATTAACCTATGATTTTATAATAACTATCGTGAGACATACTAAATTAACTAAAAACGCGGGATACTCACGTGAATATACTGAGAAAAGCTCTACTAGTTTCGAACCACAGCGGGGTTCTTCCTCATGAGCAGCGTGCACGGTCGCGGCGACGTCGCGCAGTTCACTATGATTCGAGACTAGTAGAGCTTTTTTCAGTATATTCACGTGAGTAACCCGCGTTTTTAATTAATATTAACCTAATCTACCTTCATCACCGTGATCATAAGATCATATTACCCAATGGGATTTTAAGTATCGAAGAACTCAAAAAAACTTTGCTCTAACCCTAAAGAATTAGTCTGATGTTAGGAAGTATGAATTTTATACTACCGATTTTGAATACAATTCCCTACATTTAGTACCTCTTCTTAATTTAAAGGAACCCCTAAGCTAACATTTAACGTCATTTTCTGTTTTCACCAACCTATAAGTGACACCTCAAGTAAGGGGATAGTTTAGGTGCTACATCACGCTAAGCGCTTTTTAGTTGTGTGAGTCTGGAATTGTCTCCTACGATTGGTTATAAACCGACCCCTTATCATAAAATAATAATTATTGTACTCTTGGTTTGTCCAGGCTGCTGAAGGCACAGGCTTAGCCTTCATAGTCTTCACGCAAGCGATCCTGAAGCTCACTCCAGCGCCGTTCTGGTCCATCATCTTCTTCATGATGCTCCTCTCCTTGGGGCTCGGCAGCCAGATCGGCATCATGGAGGGCATGCTGTGCACCATATTCGATATCGACTTCTTCAAACGACTTAGCAAACCTGTTATTACTGGTGAGTACTTCTACTTTTTAACAGACTTCAAAAAATAAGGTTGTCAGTTGGACTTGTGTGTATGTTTGTGCGCAAATTTCTCGCAATTGGCTGAACCGATTTTGATGTGGTTTTCAATAAAGTTTAAGTCTGGGAGAGCCATGCTTCGCCACGAATAGGCCGGCTCGACCGGAGTGATACCACGGCCCCACAGAAAACCGACGTGAAGCAACGCTTGCGTTATGTTTCGTCGTGTGAGTGAGGTTACCGGAGGCCCAATTACCCTCCCCTTCCCCAATCTCCCCAATCCCTGAATCCCCAACGATCCTCAAATTCCTAATCCCCAAAAGGCCGGTAACGCACTTGTAACGCCTCTGGTGTTCCAGGTCTCCATGGGCAGCGCCGATTGCTTACCATCAGATGATCCGTCTGCTGGTTTACCGAATTATGCCATAAAAAACGTGTTTGTTACACTTTAGAGAATGTTGTGTTTAATATGTTAATTAATCGAGTTCAAAAAATTGGGGATTGAAATCGGTTTTTACAAACGTAATTTATAATATGAATTATTACACAAGTTTTTGACAATTTTTTTTGTGCATTTGGATTATTTGATGTGAAGTAATTAGCACTATTTATGGACACTCGTACTGGAGGAGTTAAAAAAGCGTTGTCGACTTTTGTGTTTCCTTAATTTAGTATCAAGTCCATGTCTTCTTGGTTCCCTTCTTGCCTCGGCTACAGCCCAAGGGGCATTGCCTAAAATTGGTCCCTTTCTTTTTTCTGCCGGCAATCGACGATTTATGAAATATACTATCTAAAATAAATACATATGGAAATCTCAGTTCGGACTAAGGTATTGACATTTTTTTTTATACTTCACGCCTGTCACCCATGGGGGTACGCAGAGACTATGGACAACCAATATAATTTTTTGTTTGTTATATTATTCTGCATCAGTTTTTCCACATCCGAACAACTGCCGCGAATAAATTAATAGGCACCACTTTCAATACAAATTTTGTCATTGATAGTCCTAATGGTTATTCTATGAAAAACAGAACACACGAAGATCTGTCCAGTCATATTTGTGTACAGTTTTCGATGGTGTCATTTAAAACAACGAAATAAATATTTTTTCTCAATCAAGTACATTGTCATCATCATCAGCCACAGAACACTTCCTTTATTCTTCCCTTCTTCTTTAGTCCTTGAATAGCATAAACAGTATCCACTTCAAATTCTAACTTCCTACAACAAAAATCTTCCCTAGGTATCGTCTGCACCTTCTGCTTCTTCGTGGGCCTGATCTTCACGACCGGCGCTGGAGAGTACTGGCTGAAGATGTTCGACTCCTTCGCTGGAACCATCGGCCTGGTCGTCGTCGCTCTGCTGGAAATGGTCGCTGTTATTTACATTTATGGCCATGTCAGGTAAGGTAAAGGGATTATACGCTTGATAGTATAGACATGATGACGGGGTATGAAAATTAAAAATCTATTTAGTCCGTCAGTTAGACGTAATGAAAAAATATTAGACACTTTTTATTTTGTCGTATAATAAAACAATACTTAGATAAAACGAATCAAATTGCAGAAGTGGGTGTCATTTTTATCTGTAAATCGGATATAAAAGTAACGTCACGCGATATTTCAAATCAATACATCGTCGAATGTATTTCTTTCCGTAAGAAAATAAAAAATACGTATCTAATGTTTTTAAATAATCTGTCAAACGGATATTAGAATAAAATTTAGTCACTTACCATAGGCTACTAATAAGCTGGACCGGTCTAACTAGTAACGAAACTTTAGACTTCCGCGCTATAAGTAGAAAGGACTCCTATGCCTAATTTTAGTCTTGAAGTTGAAACTATTGAATGATGTCATCGCTCAGTGAATTTTAATACAGTCGCGGAAGCTATACTGTATTCAATACTTAGCTTTGCAATCAATTGGAGAAGAGCTGAGGATATAATTCAATCTATGTTTGGTCAAATCGACCACGAAATATTCGATTGAATTTACGAATCACCGTTAGCAACTAACTGTGTTGAAATTTGCAATTTCCAAATAATTCTTAACTGCTTTTGATAGGCAAAGCCATCTGGATCTCTTGTTAATCTCGCATTTTATTTTATTTTACGTTCCCTATTATTTCCATTGCAGATTCACCAACGACATCTACGAGATGACGGGCTACCGGCCCGGTTTGTACTGGCAGATCACCTGGAGATACGTTGGACCATTCATCGTGACCTGCATCCTTCTGTCCTCGCTCGTCTTTATGCTGATCAACCCACCCACTTACGGCGCTTGGAATGCTGACGAGGTAAGATTTTAGATTTATTATCAAAATCAAGGTCAAAGTCAAGATCGAAGTCGAGTTCAGGGTCAAAATCAAGATCAAAGTCAATGTTAACATCGAAGTCAATATTAAGGTCAAGTTTCAATTCGAAGTCGATTTAATGTTTAGCTTAAGAAGCCTGTCGATAGTCTAATGACTAATTGAAAGTAAAATAAAAGAAGAAAATAGAAGAAATGGAAGATGGCCCATATTATTCCTTTACCTAAATCTTCCAACCCTTGCTCACCTTCCCAATACAGGCCTATTTCCATACTTCCTTTCCTCTCCAAAGTTATGGAACATCTTGTTCATAAGCAGCTTACTTCCTACTTATCTTCCAATAACCTAATTTCTCCATTTCAGTCTGGTTTCCGCCCTGGTCACAGTACCGTTACAGCTCTGCTCAAAGTGACTGACGACATTCGTTGGGCCATGGACAACAAGTCACTAACTATTCTTGTGTTACTGGACTTCAGTTCGGCCTTCAACTCCGTGGATTTTGATATCCTCTTAGGTGTTCTGAAGGCCAACAACTTCTCGTCCTCTTCTTTGAACTGGTTTGAATCATATCTTCGGGGTCGTCGACAGCGTGTACGCCTGGAGGAAGCTTTTTCCGACTGGTGTGACCTCGTTGCTGGCGTGCCTCAGGGTGGCGTCCTTTCTCCTGTTCTGTTCTCCATGTTTATAAATACCGTTGCCAAGGTAATCTCCTCTAATTTTCACCTCTACGCAGACGACCTGCAGCTTTACCGCCACTTCAAACTATCAGAAGTTGGTCGCGCTATCGATGCTGTAAACCGCGACTTGGACGGGATTGATAAGTGGGCCAAGTCCTTTGGTCTCCAAGTCAATCCTCTTAAGTCTCAGGCCATAATCATCGGTAGTCGATACTTCCGCAGCGCTCTGGACATCTCTACTCTTGAGCCCGTGCGCCTAAATGGCACAGTGATCCCTTTCACTGACACTGCCAAGAATTTGGGGTAATCTTCGACTCCAATCTTCTATGGGGTGCACAGGTGAATGAGGTCAGTCGAAGAGTCCATTTCTCCTTTCACTCGCTGAAGCGTCTCCGGTCCTTCTTGCCATTTAAAACTAAAATTCTCCTCGTACAATCCTTAATTCAGCCTTTACTCGACTACGCAGATGCTGCTATTTGGACGTCACTGAGGAGCTACTAAACAAGCTTGAGCGGCTGCAAAACGTTTGTATTCGCTTTGTCTTCGATCTTAAGAAGTACGATCATGTCTCAGTATATCGCAGTAAGCTCAAGTGGCTCCCAATCCGACTTCGCCGGAACACTCGCATTTTATGTCTCCTTTATAATGTCCTTAACAACCCTGCCTATCCTATATATCTCCGTGACCGCTTTTCCTTGGCTCGTCCTCCTGAAGCCCTATCTAGATCCCACCTTAAGTCTCTTCTTGAAATCGTTCAACATAAAACCGATTTCTATTCCTACTCCTTCACGGTTCATGCGGTGAGACTGTGGAATTCGCTGCCGCCTAGCATTCGCGACGCCAAATCCATCTCCATTTTCAAACGACTTGTCAGGGATTATTATCTTTCGTCCTGAAGTACAGCTTTATTTATGTATATATTTATCTATGTATACATACAATATACATATATATATATTTTTATGTAATCATATTTAAATATTTCTAATTATTTTATTTATTATGTTTGTTATAATTCGCTTAAGTTTATATTTTATTCTTATACTACGGTCATTCTAGTTTTAAGTTCTTTCATTAATTTTATTTTGTTTTGTATTCGTTGCATGTATTTACACTGTGTCTTATGTCTTATGTTTATATTCCTTTTCCTGTCGCAGGTCTGCAGGAAGAAATCCCTTAAGGGATATGCAGTACCTATGTACCTCATGCTTACCTATAATGTGTTGTGTCTTATAATATTGTCTGTATGGTGTGGGTACATGAAATGATAAATAAATAAATAAATAAATAAAAATTATCATGGACTAGCCATACCTATGTTGTCATATATCACTTGTCTATTAGAATTGTTAAACATGACCAACTCCTCTTCCTGTTTATCGATCTACCAAATTATGGTACTTGAAAAGCTGAGAGAATTTTAACACTGTGACAATGTCAAGGCCACCTTCAAAGTCAAAGTCAAGGTCAAAATCAAAAACATTTTTGATTAAAATCGAATAAAAACTACGAGTAATATAGACAGTCTCTTTTAATTAAATTCAGAATGAAGTTTACAATACTATACACAATAATTATTCTATTGAAAATTTTATAAAAAATTTTAGCTCTTCTTGTCGTATTTTTGCATGAAAAGGTCCCAGAACGCCATCCTATGTCTGTAAGCATAATCTTTCATAGACATTCCGATGTCAATGTTCAGGTACTGTCTGGCATTACCAGATACAGGGGTCCAAGTCACTGGGAGGAGGGGCGTCTTCTGCGGGGTTGGGTTTCTGGAAATATTAAAAAAATATTCTATATAAAACCTGTGTAGCCAATGGAATATTTTGTCACCACCTTTACTTTTCCCACGGATGTAATCAAGGGTTTTTTTTGAGGGGAAAAATCTTCAAAACGCCATGGGGTCACCGGTGACCGACGTGAGCGGAGGATTTACCTTCAACAGTTTTTTGTTGGCAGTCAAAGGCTTAAGGACTTCTCCCGCCTTGAGTGAAGCAAGAGGGAGTGTCAGACTCTTACTGACTAAAAACCACCCCTTTCCTAAACCTTCTTCGAGCCGGGCCCCGGCAACCCGCTAAGTAGTGTACAGCTCCAGGACTAGACATTTGACAGAAACAGTGCAGCAGCATTCTCTGATAAAAATGATTATTTTTAAACTACCATCTCTAATCCATCAAGAAGATTCTATAAGGTCTAGATGTGATTATTTTTATAATATCACAGACCATGTGAGCGCAGCTGCGGGTATTATAAGTGTGGAAGAGCCATGTTTAGGCACGAATGGGAGGCTCGACCGGAGTGATACCACGGCCTCACAGAAAACCGACGTGTAGCAACGCTTGCGTTGTGTTTCGTCGTGTGAGTGAGGTTACCGGAGGCCCAGCTACCTGCCCCCTTCCCCAATCTCCCCAATCCAACAACAATCCTCAAACTCCTAATCCCTAAAAGGCCGGTAACGCACGTGTTCCAAGTGTCCATGGGCGACGCCAATTGCTTACCATTAGGTGATCCGTCTGCTCGTTTACCGTATATGCCATATAAAAAAAAATTATGTATTTATTAGCACAAATACGTACCAGCGACGTAATTGGACACTCTACCCGATAATGTATCAACAAGATTATTTCGAGGGCTCTTGTAATATCATTTTATTCTGTAAATAGATTCTGACCTGATTGGAAATAATAATACAAACTTTACTGTACAAATTGTGTAAAGGTGAAATCCACACCCTTTAATATAAGTGACAGAAGGCGTTGGCCTGTTGCGGAGCCGCGGAAGACTTAATGGGTTGCCGGGGCTCCGGCTCGAAGTGCAGGAGAAGGAACGGGGTGGTTTTTAGTCAGTAAGAGTCTGACACTCCCTCTCGCCTCACCCGGGTGGGAGAAGTCATTGGATGATTTTCCACCTCAAAAAAAGGCGTTGGCCTGTTGTACTTAAAAACCGCTTCCGACTTCATCACATCTGATTATAGTGTGGCCACTGATTGCAGATCAAAATGTTATAAAAAAAACAAAGACTTTACTGTAGGACCTACGAGAATAGCTGATCGAATAAGACATTGAAATCTTTAGATATCAAACCTTTATAGGTACATACATACATCTTAAAAAAGGGACACTGGACGCAAAAGCCCAAACCATAATTATGGTAACTAGGATGGTACAACTGGTATAGAACATCCTAACCAGCTTGGTACAACGTTACTTAAAAAGTGAACAAACACTCACCCAAGCTTAACGAAGTTCGCCCACATAGTCGTCATCCGATTCCTCATCAACCTTTGTTCATCAGAAGTCAATTTTACACCAGTTTCAAATAAATACTTCAACTCTTCAGTGTGCACTGCTCCAGCACCCGTTATGTTCTGATAAACACTACCTCCTATGTACGAGAACATATATTTATACACCCTCCCTCCTTGTTCTAAGTACTTAGATACAGATTTCTCAACAGCGTAATTCAATTTAAAGTCTGAAGAATATTCACTCAACTCCAACATGGACTCCGGTCCAATCCTCTTACTTCCAAGATAGAAACTCCTTGTAATATTACTCAAAGTCTCCAATTCGCAAGTTTTCAAAACGAAATGATTCTGCAAATTCTTGTAGAAGATATCTCCCAATTTGTCGAAGAACTCCATCGGTTTGTTCGCGTAAGTCGCGAAATCTTCTTTGCTGTTGTAGCCGATCATTATTGGTATGTTCTCAATGCGATCTGGATTACTCAAGTGATTTATGCATTTGGTGACGAATTGCTGGGTACCTTTGAAGCGGACTTCTTTACATACTGTCATTTTATAACCTAAATTTTTTGCTGCATTCATCACCAACACAGGATTTTCTTTTCCCAACGCTTGCAAAGCTTCTCTTGTGTTCGCCACTCTAAACCCTAATTGATGTGCTAGTCTTATAGCTGCATCATGATCTCGGTTCCCATAAAACCCTGGGGCATATAAGGAACCGCTTTGGATGATCACTTTTTCAAATAACGTTTCGTACTTGGAGTAGAGATGCAAGTCTACAGCACCACCTCCATAACTTTGACCGGCTATAGTGACCTTGGTTGGATCGCCACCAAAAAATTCTATATTCTTTCTAACCCACCTCAGAGCGCCTATTTGGTCCTTTAGTCCTTGGTTTCCCGGCACAGCAGCGTCGTTCAAACACATGAATCCATAAGGACCAAGTCTGTAATTGACTGTGACTACAATGATGCCATGTTTGATCAAATGTTCGCCGCCATATTCTTGGGCGCTGCCAAAGGTGAATCCTCCACCGTAAAACCAGACCAACACTGGCACTG